AGACCACAGCCTTCTACATGAATTTCATCACGGTGTAAAGAAAACAAAAATCCGCACCACTGGACCAGTGAACAACATGTCAGTGGAGAAAAGATTGTAATTGTCAAAAGATGTCATTTTACTCAAATCAACCATTAACACTTATGGAAACAGCAGTCAAGAAATCAAACACCATATTGCATTAGGCAAATCTGCTGCACAAGACCTTTCTAAAGTGTTGAAGAGCAATGATGTCAGTTTGAGGACTAAGGTGCACCTGACTCAAGCCATGGTAATTTCATTAACCTCATATGCATGTGAAAGCATCTAAGGAAGACCGTAGAAAAATTGATGCATTTGAGTTCTTGTGTTGGAGGAAACTATTGAAAGTACCATGGGCTGCCAAAAGAACAAATAGGTCTCTGTTGAATGAAGTACAGCCAGAGTACTCCTTGGAATCCAGGATGGCCAGACTTTGTCTCTCATACTTGGAACATACTGTCAGGAGGGATCAGTCACTGGAGAAGGATATCATGTTTGGTAAGGTGGAGGGTCAGAGAATAAGGAAGACCCCCACCGAGATGGATTGGCAAAGTGGCAATATCAATGGGCTCAAGCATAGCAACAATAGTGAGGTTGGCTCAGGACCGGGCATTGTTTCATTCTGTTGTGCATAGGGTCGCTATGAGTCGGTACCGACTTGATATGGCACCTCACAACAACAAATCGGCAAAGAGTAAAACTTTTTGCATATGATATGATCCTATATATACAAAACCCCAAAGACTCAGCAAAAAAACTACTAGAACTCATTGGAAGATTCAGAAAAAGCAGGTTACAAGATCAACATACAAAAGTCAATTGGATTCCTCTATACTAATAATGACAGCCTGAAAAGGAAATTAGGAAAGCAATACCATTTACAATAGCTGCCCAGAGGATGAAATACTTCGGAATAAATCTAACCAGAGAAACAAAAGAAACTATGAGATGCTGCTATATAAACTAACAGGTAGTCTTTAGAACAGAAAAGGATACAGAATGGTTTAAAAATTTGGAAATAGAAATACCATTTGATCTGGCATTCCCACTACTAGGAAATACGAGCCCAGACGCAGACTGATATATGTACATCCATGTTCATTGCAGCACTGTTGACAATATCAAGAGATGGAAACGACCTAAGTGCCCATCAACAGTGAGAGGATTAACAAAACGATGGTACATATCCACAATGGAATACTATAAAACATTAAAGAATAACGTAGACTCCGTGAAATACCTCATAACTTGGATGAATTTGAAGGACATTATGCTGAGTGAAATCAGTCAGTCACAAAAGGACGTATATTGTATGAGTCCACTATTAGAAAATCAAAGAAAATTTTACACAAAGAAAAACTCTTTGATGGTTACCTAGGTGTGTGAGAGGAAGGTAAAGAAAATCACAAAATAGATCATTGTTGTTAAGTGCCATCAAGTCAGTTCCAACCCATAGCAACCCTATATAGGGTTTCTAAGGAGTGACTGGTGAGTTTGAGCCACCAACCTTGCAGTTAAAACTGACCTTGTTTGGGTGAAAAGAAAGGCAGCATTCAATAAGGAAGTTATCTACACAATGTCACTAAAGAAAAGAAGACATTGAGAGGTACACAAGAGTTACAGGTAACAAAGATAAATACTGTTGCATACAAAATCCTGCATTATTAGAAATAGCAAACATTGATAGGCAAGGTAAACTCATGGCCATGTATAGGTTTGGCAGTGGCATTTCTACAAACGTACTTGTATGTGCTGTAAATATATCCATGTTTATAATAGAACAGAGGGCAAAAATACTGTTATAAAGTATACAGCTATAACAGATATACCAGAAGTCTGAATTTAGAGCACCAGCTCTGGAGAAAGGTCCTTGTCTCCTCTCAGCATCTGTAGGCTCAACATTCCTTAAAGATCTTGGCATTATTCTTTCCCTCCACCTGGACACATCACAGTACAGGGACCCTACATCCAAAGGACACATTTCACTCTCAGCTCTTTCTTTCTTGGGGGTAGTAGGTCCTTGTTTGCTCGTTTCTCTCCTGTGATCTCTTGTAAGATAAAAGATATCAGATCCGTGTCGTGGTGAGATTAAAGGTATTGTGACCCACTTTTTTTTTTTTTCTTAAATGTTTTATTGTGAATTATGTGATAGTTTACATGGGAGAACATTAATTTTACATTCATTCTATCGTATATCATCTCATTGCCATGGTTACAATCCCCTCCATGCATCATTAGTCAACCAAAGGGTATACCCTGCAATCCTTTCCCCCATATCCCCTGGGTCTTCAGCACACAGTCGCTCTCCCTTTCTGGATCTAAAGTCTCCAGCTGCTCCATCGCTCCACGTCATCATCTCTGCTACGGCCCACTCTTAATCCTCTTTTTGGTTTTATCACATCAGGTCCCATTCTTGGGGATCATCACATAACTGCCACACTACATCCTTACAGGACTGCCAAACTACGGAAAATCGTGACTCAATGAAGGTGACACACGTTTTGTAGGAACACAGTTCAGTCAGTGGCAGTACTTACTGGTAGACTAGCTGGGGCATATAGTAATTAATTCTTTGTTCATCTTTTTGAGGAGCTGTGAAATTGTTTTTTATAGATGCTCTACCATTGTACATTTTCACCAGCAGTAAATTAGAGTTCTGGTTTCTATGAAACTTAACTGTTTTTCCTTTAAAAAATAAAAAGTACCACTGTTTTTCTAATGAAATCAAATTTGGTGGGTTTGATTTGTATTTTTAAAAGAGCCTTAATGGACCAGTGGTTAAACACTTAGCTGCTAACCTAAAGGTTGGTGGTTCTACACTAGCAGCCACTTTGCTGGAGAAACAATCTAGTGATCTGCTCCTGTAAATATTACAGCCTAGGAAACACCATGGGGCAATTCTGATCTACCCTATAGGGTCACTATGAGTTGGAATTTACTCAGCAACTTTCACAACAAGGGCTAATGACCTTAAGCATCTTTTTATGTACTTACTGACTATATGAAAGAGCCATGATAATGCTGTGGTTAGGAACTCAGCTGCTAATTGAGAAGTTAGGGATTTGAACCCATCAACTGCTCTGTGGAAAAAAAATATATGGCAGTCTGCTTTTGTAAAGATTTTACAGTCTTGGAAACTGTATGGGGCAGTTATACTCTGCTTTATAGTCACTGAGTTGAAATCAACTCGATGGTAGTGAATTTGGATTTGGGTTTTGGATTGGCTTTTTGAATCTCTGATGAAATGTCTATTCAGGTTATTCAGTTTTTGATCAAATTTTTGGTCTTTTTGTTTTATGTTGTAGAAGTATATATTTTGAATATTAGACCCTTATCAAGTTTTGGCACTGTGTGCTAATGCACTGGACTGGAAGGTCAGTTTGAACCACAAGGTCAGTGGTTCAAGCTTACCAGCCACTTTTCAGAAACCCTATACTGAGTTGCTATGAGTCGGAACTGACTTAAAGGCATGTAACAACATCAGATATATGGGAGTGCCGTGGCTCCATAAGGTAAGCACTGTACTGTGAACCACAATATCTGCAGTTCAGGCCCACCAGCCACTCTGTGGGAGAAAGGTTGCTATGAGTCAGAAATGGTTTCCCTAATAAAAATAAATACACTGTACAATAAAGTGCTTTGGAATCCCATTCTTCACAGTGTTATCCATAGCTTGTCATGATCCACACAGTCTAAAGCCTTTTCATAGACAGTAAAGCACAGGTTTATTTCTGGTATTCTCTGTTTTCAACCAAGATCCATCTGACATAAGCAATGATGTCCCTCATTTCATGTCCTCGTCTGCATCTAGCTTGAGCCTCCGGCAGTTCTTTGTTGATATACTGTTGCATTCATTTTTTAATTATTCTTATCAGAGTTTTAGTTGTATGTGATATTAATGATATTGTCTGGTGATTGCTGCATTCAGTAGTGCCACCTCTTTTGAAATGAGCACAAATATGGATTTCTTCCAATCAGTTGGCCAGGTGGCTGTCTTCCAAATTTCTTGGCATAGATGAGTTGAGTGCCTCCAGTACTGCATCACTTTGTTGAAAGATTTCAATTTGTATTCCATCAGTTCTTGGAGCCTGTTCTTTGCCAATGCCTTCAGAACATCTTGGACTTCTTCCTTCAGCACCATTGGCTCTTGATCAGATGCTATTTCGAAATAGTCGAACACTGACTATTTCTTTCGGGTATAGAGACTCTGTACTTCTGTGGGTTTTTTTTTTTTTTTTTTTTTTTTTCGGTATCTACATCATTCCATTCTTCAATATTGCAGTATTGCAACTCTAGCCTTGAATTTTTTCTTCAGTTCCTTAAGCTTGAGAGCTGTTGAACTTGTCCTTCCATTTTGGTTTTCTAACTCCAGGTCTTTGCACATTTCATTATAATACTTGACTTTGTCTTCTCAAACTGCCCTTTGAAATTTTATGTTTCATTCTTTTACCTCCTCATTTCTTCCATTTGCTTTAGTAGAAACTCATCTGGTATCCATTTTGATCTTTTCCTACTTTCTTGTCTTCTTAATGACCTTTTGCTTTCTTCTACTAGGTGTTCTTGATGTCATCCCACAAGCCATCTAGTCTTCAGCCATTAGTGTCTAACACATCAGATCTGTTCTTGAGATGATCTCTAAATCTATCAATTCTGCTAGCAGTCCCGTGGTTATCCTACAGAGCCTCTAGGGCTCCTTATTAAATCTTGTATTTTAATAATTACTTTGTTGTTTGAACTGCCAACCTGGTGATTTGAAGTCCAATACTTACCTTTTTGCTTCTTTTTCATTCCTTTTTTTTTTTTTTAACTCAAACTAGGGAAGTAGAGGAAATATATACTTGTATTCAATTCACATCAGGAAACTTAGCCTGAAATAAGAGTCAACTATAATATTACATTTGTATAAAATTTCAATTCCATTAAAAGTATATTAAGATTAATAAATATGATTTTTTTTTTTCCCCCTCTCATTTACAGAGAACTGGAAAGCTGATGACCTGATAGAGAGAAGCCAGGAAAAGCAAGATGAACATTTTTGGCAACTTATATTCACCAACAATAAAACATTCAGTAAAGAGAATAGTAATAGAACAGTAAAAACTTTTAACCTGAGTACAGACCCTGTTCCTTCAAGAAACAGTACTTACAGAATATGTGACTCATGTGAAATGAGTTTGAAAAATTTTTCAGGTCTAATTGTTAGTAAAAAAAGTTCTTCAGGAAAGAAACCTGATGAGTTTAATGTATGTGAGAAATTGTTCCTAGATATTACACGTAAGAAAATTCCTGCTGGAGAGAAATCTTGTAATCAAAAAAGGAATACCTACAGTCAAAGCAATGATCTTACCCAACCAATTTTTGACCAATCTTTTGAGTATAAAGAAAATGAGAAAGATTTCCATGAGGAGGTAGCTTTTACAAATAAGAGAGCTCAGATTGGAGAGACACTCTCTAAGTATAATGAATGTGGGAAAGCCTTCATCCAAAGTTTAAAACTCAATATATCTCAGAGAACTCATTTGGAAGTGGAGCCATATGAATGTAGTTTTTGTGGGAAGCTCTTCTATATGGATTTAAAATTTGGACATCAGAGAGCACTTACAGAGGTGAGTCCTTATGAGTATAATAATTATGGGGAAATCTTGTGTGACAATTCAACTTTCATTATTCATCATGGAGCTTATTACACAAGAAAGATTCACCATGAATATAAAATAAATGACAAAAATTGGGAGAAGTCAACCTTCTTTAAACATCAGATAATACAATTGGAGGGAAAATCCTATGAATACAATAAAAATGTGAATAATTTCAGCAAGAAATCACATCTTATGCAAATTCGAAGAGCTCACTCAAGAGAAAAAACCTTCGAATGTGGCGAATGTGGGAAAACATTCTGGGAGAAGTCTAATCTCACTCAGCATCAGAGAACACATACAGGAGAGAAACCCTATGAATGTACTGAATGTGGAAAATCATTTTGCCAGAAGCCACATCTTACCAACCATCAGCGAACCCATACAGGAGAAAAGCCCTATGAATGTAAGCAATGTGGCAAAACATTCTGTGTGAAGTCAAACCTTACTGAACATCAAAGAACACATACAGGGGAGAAACCCTATGAATGTAATGCATGTGGGAAATCCTTCTGCCACAGGTCAGCTCTAACTGTACACCAGAGAACACATACAGGTGAAAAGCCCTTTATATGTAATGACTGTGGGAAATCTTTTTGTGTAAAGTCAAACCTTATTGTACATCAAAGAACTCACACAGGGGAGAAACCCTATAAATGTAATGAGTGTGGGAAAACCTTCTGTGAAAAATCAGCTCTCACGAAACATCAAAGAACCCACACAGGGGAGAAACCCTATGAGTGTAATGAGTGTGGGAAAACCTTTAGCCAGAGGTCAGTACTAACTAAACATCAGAGAATTCACACCAGGATGAAAGCTGTCTCTATGTCCTGAATGTCCACTGTCAGATTTGTTTTATGGTTTACAAAATGACATTAGAGAAACCCAAAGAATGGCACAGATTACTAAGAAATGACTTATTTGTATTTCAGATAATTGACACTTGGTTAAAACCAAAGCTTTCAAGAAAAAGTAAAACTCATCAGAAAATTTTTACTGAGGGAAATCTCATTTCAAAGTAATGTGTTAAAATATCTAGAGTGTATGTTTGTAATATTCCAGATGAGACATCAAAATGGTAACTATAATAAATAATATTTATGTATGCCCACATTCACAGTGAAATCTGAGGCTTAAAACAATTGACAATAGCGTTAAACATGTATGGAGTCTCTGCTGTTTGTAGGTCTCTTATTAGTATGCAAATATAACATATTTGGAGTATGCTTGCTTTGCATATTGGAGCCCACCATGGTTGTAAGGGGAAAAATATGAAACCTTAGTAACTATTAGGGTATATGTTCATTTTTCTCACAGTAAATACTATTACTGTCTTTATAACAATGCATAATTATATACATATATATGTAAATACGGAGTCCTGCTGTGATGCTGTAGAAAAGCACTGGACTACTAACAACAAGGTCGGCAGTTCAAACCCATCAGCCTTTCTTGGAAACTTGACACAAGGCCACTGTGAGTCAGAACTGACTCACTGGCACTTAACAACAATTGTTCATATAAACAAATTAAGTTCATATAAACAAATCCATATGCATTGATATGCTAGAGTCAACTTCTACTGACTTATAAGTGCTGATTGCTAATTTTTCAAGAAGTAAGTTATATAGCCATACAATTAAATTATGTTAAAAAAACAAAGGTAATATTCAAAACTCATCACTTTCTAATTATTTGATACATTACCTGTGCTCTTTACGTTGCTTATATGACTGAACATGTATGATGAAAATGCTATGTAATATTCTACCCACCACTGCTGCTGAGTTGATTCAGATTTAGCCACCTTATATATAGGACAGAACTGCTCCATAGGATTTCCAAGGCTGTAATTCTTTACAGAAACAGACTGCCTCGTCTTTCTTCCAGAGTTGCTGGTAGATTGAAGCCACTGACCTTCAGTCAACAGCCTAGTGCCTAACCTGCTGCACCATCACGGCTCCTTATACATGTATGATACTATATATAATTGTATAAAGTGAAAATGTTATGTAGTGATGTTGTCTTGCTGATAGATTGAAATTGCTATAGTGGGAACGTTTACACCATGGATTTTGCCACACTCTCTACAGGTTCAAGATTTTTATTTTTCCAGAGAACAAATTGTCATCTACTGGAATATCAATGTGTATGTAAGAATATTTGGCAGATTTAAAGTGCATACTTCTCCCATTTCTGAGTAAAATAAATGGCTATGTTCATTGTTATTGAATTACTGAATTGCTTCTTCAGTAAGTAAGTCAACATGTTTTTGTGTCTTTTTAACTACCTTTGGATCAGTCCTATTGTAAATACTACGGTAGTTTCTTTTCAGCTTGGCCAGTGTGGAAGGGAATGACATGGCTGTGTAGGTGATGTGTGATAAGGACTGGCTGATTCAAACCCATCAGCCGCTCTTCACAAACCCTATCCAGAGTTGCTATGAGTCTGAAATAACTTAATGGTGCTTATCAACAACAAATGTTTCATTTAAAACATGTAAAATAATATTTCACAAAGAATCACATAATCTATATTTCCTGGGGGGAAAAAATGAATAGACAAGGCCATTATTACTAAACTTACATAAAAAAGCCAAGCAGTAGTTTTCTAAGGGTTTCCAGCTGCCTCTGGATTAATCAATAATACCAATGCTATTATTGATTAAATAACATAGTATTTACATAGTTAGATGAAGTTTAACACCAGTTATGAACTGTAATACTGCACCCTACAAATAAAAAGTGGTAGTATTTACTGAAGCTCCTCTTTAATAATCGGGGTGTTTCATTGTGGTATCTATTTAGGCATGATATGTGTAATCCAGAACTATGTGTTTGTATCTAGTATACACTGTCATATACTCTCCCTGCCTTCTTTGACCTATTTCTTAGACTGTCTTGGAACACACTGGAGTAGTTGTAGAGAACTGCCTCCCCAACACACATTCCCTGCTGCTTTGCTCAGCTTTGTTGCATCTTTGTCCATCCTTCAGATGATTTAGGGACTAAATCCAAATTTGTTTAAACTCATCAATGATTGCTTAAATATTCATTTTGTTGATCGGTTTGGAATGGACATGTAACCAATGAGATGTTTGGGAAAATACAGCAACTCTGGGAAAGATCTCAGGGATGAAAGGAGGCAGGCATGAGAAGAGATTGTCCCTCTGTTGGGTTTTCTTCACCTCAGTTTGTGATTACAGATTATAGCGTGTGTCCTTGTGGGATATTAAGGTGAATATGACAGTGCAAGTTTACAAAAGCCTGGCCCAAAGGGATCATACTGAACTGCCCAATTTCCTCATTCTGGACCTGCTTGTCTTGAAGACTTGTTACTATCTGCAATAATAACTGTCACTTATGTATTCTTAGGACAACATGTTATGTAGAGCTGAAAGCCTTCTAACAAACACACAGGAATATTTTGTGTGTGTGTGCTAATGTTCTATATGGCAATTTGGAGGGAGACAAAAATTGGGAGCAAGTTGTTAAAGGGATGTCTGTCTGTATCCAGCTAAAAATACTTTAATGTCAGGCTTATTATAGAGGTATAGGTTTGCTATGAATCAGAATTGACTCAGCAGCCATGGAATTGGCCAGAACCAAGGGGTACTGAAGTGCCTAGAGGCAAACCATTTCTGTTCTTAGTTCTAAAGAGGCAAAGGATGGAAACAAGTTTGCCAGAGTCCAATGAGAGCTGCTGTTTTGGAGTGAGGGGCGAGGATGGGAAGTAATTTAGTAGAAGCTATTGTCACTGCCATAATTTTGGTACCAAATTGCTGGACTCTCCCTTTGGAGAACCCAAGCACATATCATCTGCAAGGGAGTCCAACTGGGCATATAGAAAATGAAAAATAAGAAGCACAGGGTTTTTTATTTATGCAAATTCCTATGTAAAAGGCTAGTTATTAGTTATTCTACTAGATGAAAATGAAGTGTTTTTGCTTCATTGCGCTTTCATATTGTTGTTTACTGCGATTGAGTCGGTTCCAACTCATAGCGACCCTGTAAAGGGTTCCCAAGGAGCAGCTGGTGAGTTAGAACTCCCAGTTTGTGGTTCACAGTTCAGTGCTTATCCTCCAGAGCCACACCAGAAATCTATGCTTTCGTGTTAGCATAAGTAAATTCCCTTTGGAATTGAGCACTGTGGCAGTTATGATTCCTTTGATGTATATGAAGCAGACGTTATATTAGATGATCATATATCCCTCTGGTGTGTCGTGTGTAGTGTGAGATAAGCAACTCTGTATTTTTCCAAATAGCCAGTTGTCCCCTGTACTAGTTGAGTAATTCTCCCTTTTTCTTGTGGGTCTGATGTAGCATTGCCATCATGAATTTTAATACAAATGCCGAGGGTATTGCTTTTTTTTTTTTCCCCTTTTTTCATTTTTTATTTTATTGTGAATTGTGTGATAGTCTACATGGGAGAACATCAGCTTTACATTCATTCCTTCATCCATCATTTCATTGGCATAGTTACCATCCCGACCATGCATCCTCACCCAACCAAGGGGTGTACCCTGTAAACCTGCACATCCCTCACCAGTCCTCAGCCCCTTTCCATCTGATCCCAAGTCCCCAGCCACACCATCTCTTGACGTCATCTTCTCTGCCTCCATCTCAGGCCTCACTGCCTCTCTGGGTAGGATTCTGCTCTTCACTCTTCTCCATCAATGGTCCCAGGGTCCTCCACTCCTAGATTGAAAAGTTAATCAATCCCCACTTTGCTAAAAAATTTCCATCTTTAGACTTCCAACCCTCACAATCAGTCCTGATACCAATTATTCACCATTGCATCACAAGAGACCCATCTGTATTTCATTTCATCAGCCCTTCCTGGACAGGCTGGACACTTCCCTGGAGACAATCTCAGTAGAGCTTTTCTACATTTTTCTAGTAATAAGACTTGCCTTTGTAATCACAGACTTGACATTTAACCCTGAAGGTGTCACCTCTTCCTGGTCCCACATTTGTACTGATCTAGAATGGTCATTTGTTAGAGAATGTTGTTGTTGTTGTTAGGTGTCATAGAGTTGGTTCCAACTCATAGCGACCTTATGCACAGCAGAACGAAACACTGCCCAATCCTGGGCCAGCCTCACTATTGTTGCCATGCTTGAGCCCACTGATGCTGCCACTTTGCCAATCCATCTCACTGGGGATCTTCCTCTTTTTCTCCAACCCTCCAACTTACCAAATATAATATCCTTCTCCAGCGATTGGTCCCTCCTGACAATATGTCCAAAGTATGAGAGACGAAGTTTGGCCATCCTGGCCTCCAAGGAGCACTCTGGCTGCACTTCTTCCAACACGGATCTATTGGTTCTTTTGGCAGCCCATGGCACTTTCAATATTCTCCTCCAACACCTTAATTCAAAAGCATCAATTCTTCTACGGCCTTCCTTATTCACTGTCCAGCTGTCACATGCATATGAGGTTACTGAAAATACCATGACTTGGGTTAGGCACACTTTTAGTCTTCAAGCTGACATCTAGGCTCTTAAACACTTTAAAAAGGCCTTGTGCAGCAGATTTGAAAAAATAGGCCCGTGAAAATTCATACTAGAATATATTTATTGGGAGTTCACCGCAAACATGTTAGTTTGTGTCTTTGGAGCTGCCAGCATCCATATCAAGAAAATATATATGCAAAGGAGAGAGACCTGGTGATAAGTGCTATGATGAAAATCCAAGTAGAAACAGTTATCAGAGGGGCGATTTGATTTTCAGTATGGTAAAAAGGGAAAGATTGCATTTGAGGGAGTGAACCATGTGAATACTTGGAAGATGTGTGTGTAACACATACGGGGACATAGTCAACAGCCTTAACATATCTAAGATGTTTCATGAAATAACATCCTCATTTTTCTAATATACTTGAATATTTTATTTTGTATTGCATTCAAATCAAAGA